CGAGGGGCTGAGAGTCACAGTCTGGTTTCTCCAAAGCGTGGTTAAAAGCCCTCTTGCCAGATTAGAGCCTAAATACCACAGAAAGGCACAGAGATGGAGGACTTGGCTGTCACTCCTTGTGCCCTTGTCCCTCGCTCTTGTGGGCCACAGTGGCCTGCCGAGGTTGGAGCCTGGGCACTGTGGGGCTGTCTCATTTCAGAAACACTGCGACAGGCAGAAGGCAAACCTGAGGATCCGCTTCAAGCCCTCGCTCTTCCAGCACGTGGGAACCCACTCCTCCTTGGCTGGGAAGATACAGAAGCTGAAGGTGGGTACCAGCTTTGTCCAAGCTGCAGGTGGCCTGCTCTGCAGACACCCAGCAACTGACTGCTTTTGGGTGGGGACATCAGTGACAGCAGCTGGTGGCAGCTGGATTTCTGTGACGTGGTTGTGTTTTATTCTGTATTACAGTGAGCTCAGGCAGCTCCTGCTCCTCAGAATGGCAGTGACATGTACCAAGAGTCACTGCAAGATTATAAGCCTTGGTACCAGTCCTGGCTACCCATCCTGAGTGCCAGGCCATGGTCCAGGCAAGTGGCTTCAAAGAATCTACTGGAAAACCTTGGAGATGACTCCTGGGTTGGTCTGACTTCCTTCCCACTCCACTGTATGTTCCTGGGATTTGGTGATTGATAGACAAATTAAAACTCACTGTATAATGGAGATGACTCCTGGGTTGGTCTGACTTCCTTCCCACTCCACTTTATGTTCCTGGGATTTGGTGATAGATAAATTAAAACTCACTGTATAAGAGCTGGAATTGTTGATGTGTGTTTAAACATGAACAAAATGCTCATGTTCAGCTACAAGTGCAGAATCCATGGACAGACATCCCTGGGCTGTGCTGTCTGTGTGATCCCCGGGGAACTGGATGGTATAATCCAGTTTGTATGTGCTGTCACAGTGCAGTGCTGTCAGGCCATGTAATCCAGTCATTTTATGCTATTGTCAGCCTCCCAGCTGCTTTCTCCTCAAGTGTAAAGACTGTTTCCAGAGCTCCTGGGGCATGGACAGGCATTCAGGGACATTTGGACCATGAAAGGCTCCTTGGTGTGCTGGATCAGAGCACAGAGCAGAGGTGTTTCTCTGAGCTGCCTCTCCTGAAGCAGTGTCCTGGGATCCAGTCACACATTCCCCTGCCTGGTGCCTTGCCCAAATTACTTCCATCTCTCATCCTTCTGTGCCCTGCAAATCACAAAATTTTAATTTACGGTGCCTTGTAGCTGGGGCCCTGGTTCCTCACAGGCCAGAGCAGCTCATGGCCCTTTTGCTTTGTGCCCTCCAAGGACAAGGACTTTGGAAAACACGCACTGCGGAAAGAGCACGTCAACCCTCCTGCCGAGGTGAGCACCAGCCTGAAAACCTACCAGCACTTCACCTTGGAGAAGGCTTACCTGCGGGAGGACTTCTTCTGGGCCTTCACTCCCACTGCCGGAGACTTCATCCGATTCAGATTCTTCAAACCACTCCGTATTGAAAGGCCAGTGCTTGAGGGGTCAGGGGGGCATGGGGACAGCCCAGAGCATGTGGAGACACTTGACTTTTGCTCTTCTGGCAGTTTAAATCAAATTTCTTGCCTGTCTCCTGCTTGGCTGCCCAGGAGGAGAGAGCAGTGCTCTTCCAGGGGGAGGATAATTTGACCCTTTCTCAGTGGGGCCCCCTTTGCCAGAGCCCTTTGCTTTCCTGCGCTTGTGAGCAGTCCGTGGTTTAGCTGATCTGGCACAGAAAGTCTCGTGCCAAATCGTGCTGTGGGCTCTTTGGGAAGGTGCCTGTTAGGTTGAGCTGTTTGATGATTCAGATGGGGTGAAAGCCATCATGTGCCCCCTCGCTCAGCGTGCCTCTCTGTGGGTTTGGTCTCTGTCACAGGTTCTTCTTCCGCAGCGGGAACATCGAGCACCCAGAAGACAAACTCTTCAACACAACCGTGGAGGTTCTGCCGTTTGACGTAAGTGTTTGATTGAGATTTGAGGTGAGGGTGGAGTGGGAGGCAAAAGAGGTTTGAGACGAGGGAGCTGCTTAAAGATCTTCACAAGATTGGAGTGCCTCTTACAGGTGCTGGCAGGGAGCCAGAGGGTCATGCCTGGTGTGATGCCACCTCGGGAGCAGAGTGCTTTGCTGAGCACAGCTGTGTGAGCCATCCCTGCCTGGGGATGCTCCAGTGGGTGGGATGGCTGCAGAGGAGGGGGATGAAGCCAGAATGGTGCAGTGGAAACAGCAGTGTGAGGACTGCAGCTGTCCTCTTGTTCTTTGGGCATGTGTCTCAGGGTGCCAGGTATGGGATGAGATGCCAGGGTTTGCTGGCAAGGACAGCTCTGGGGTTGCTGCTTTTCCTTGGGGCTTTTGGGTGACTCTTGCCTCTGGTCTTGCAAAAAGCTCCTCTCCTTCTGCAGAGTCTACAGTCAGATAAGGAAGCCTTGCAGGAGGGAAGAGGCACAGCCGTCAAGTACCGCAGGACAGCGGATGGCTACATCCAGATAGGTACAGGGGGTGTGGGGAAAGTGCCTGCTGGCTCTGATAACACAGCCCATGTCCTCACCTGCATGTCAGTCAAGAACCTTAGAGCTGTTTGCTTGGCAGAGAGTAATTTCTGCTTGCCAGGAGCCAGGTTGGAACAGGATTTGTCACTGTCTCCTCTCCTCCAGTGCCCTCGCTCTCAGACCACGTTGTCCTCCTCAGATCATTTTCAGTCCTGCATTTCTGCCAGTCCTGCTCAGAGCCGGGACCAAATTATGCTGATTATTTGTTTGCTTACCCTGGGGTTAAAAACCTCCACCATGGGCAGTTTTGCCATCTCTGTACTCACACCACTTGCAGGTCAGACTTCTTCTCTTGCCACCTGAGCTTTTTTTAGTGCTCGCCCTGCCCTTGGACAAGAACGAGCAACTGCAGCCTCCCGAGAGCTGCCAGTGTGTGATACAGCTCTGGTGTCCCTGCTAAGATTTTAATTTTTTTTAAGTAGTCAAATAAAAGAAAGATTTCCTGACACATGCAGTATTTTGCCATTTTCTCATTCCTCTGAATGCTGGCTGGTTTCTCCCAGTTGCATTTTCAAAAAAAAAAAAAAAAAAAATCAAAACCAAAAAGCATATCAGTAGTATGTCACCAAATACTCCAAATAAATTTTGTTTTGTTTACCTGATTTGTGTTCTCCGAAGTGTGGCATTTTGCACTGTATTGCCATCCACGCTGCTGGGTTTTAGCCTGTTTTGTGCTGGGGATGTTGGCAGGCAGGGGCTGCTGGGGATGTTGGTGGTGCCCTGGGGGAGAAGGAGCAATGCCAGAGGGCCATCCCTGTGTCAGCCACGTGCTCTCCCCACCAGGCTCATTCTCCAAGGGCGTCGCAGAGGGTGAGGTGGACCCATCTTTTGGGCCACTGGAGGCCATCAGGCTGTCCATCCAGACCGACTCCCCGGTGTGGATCATCCTGAGCGAGGTAAGCCAAGCTCTCCCGGCACCTCCCCACCCCTGCCCTGCTCATCACTCTGATTCCATCCCGCTCTTCTTTCAGATTTTTATCAAAAAAGCAGAGTGAAACAGGCATGAGGCAGAACGGACACCCTCGTGGATCCCTGGTCCTGCTCCCTCCCTCCCGCTCCCTCCTCCCCGCGGCGCCTTGCCCGGACCAGGACAGCGCAGGGCCGGCTGCCGGGACTCGCCCGCAGACCGGGCAGAGCTGCTGCTGCTGCGCCATCCCCAGCGGGGCTGCGGGGCCAGGACGGGCACTGACTTCTCCAGAAGAGCAGCAGAAAGCAGAACCCAACCCCCTGTGCAGAGGGGTGGCTTTGCTCCGCTCCCTCGGCCCCTCGGGTGCTGCTCAGGACACACGGGACAGTTTGGGGTCGGGATGAGCTTCAGCCAGCGTGGGGACAAAAAGCACCTTCAGCCCCAGACAGGGCAGTCTTTGGCTGTGTTTGGGGACAGAGCAGGTCACACCGAGTCCTGCCAGCTGACCCCACTGGCACGCTGGGATGGAGGCAGCAGGGCCAGAGGTCTGCCTTGCCCTCTCCCAGGCAGCAGTCCTGGCCACAGCTGAGGATTAAGTGAGGGCAAAGATTGACCCTCCTTCAGCAGAGGAGGAACGAATCCGAAGGGGTTGGAGCTTATGATTAGGGCAGGGAAAACAAAAAAATAAAATATGCCACACTGTGCCTGCCAGCATTGAACACAGCCCCTTAACTCACGGTGAAGTCTCCAGTGTCTTCATGCCTTGAGATTGAGTGCAGAAACTGTCTTTTAAATAACTAATTCAGTTATTGATTGATGTGGGTTTTTTGGGGACGGAAAAAAAAAAAAAAAACAGAGGTAGCCCAGTTCAAAAATAGTAGGGATTAGTGTAAATCCCAATGTCCTTTCAACTATACACTGGAATGCATTATACTACTTTAATGTTCTGTATTTTTTATTATTGGATACATTTGATTTTTCAAGTACATCTCTCTATATAAATATATAAAACAATGTGCACTGTAATAAAAGCTGAATTTAAACCTTTGGTGCAGTAGTGGAGTCACTTGCAGCGGGGCTGCTTTAGGCACCTGTGAACCCCAAGTTCACAGTGGAGGGTGAAATCTAGGGAGGGCAAAGTCCTTTTGCAGAGTTGGTGATAAGTGAAGCTGGGGTAAAGTAAAGGTCATTTAATCAATGCCAAACAGACTTTAGTACCTGGGCTAGGGTCAGGCTTTTCTCCCAGTATTTGGATGTGGTTTTAGGCAAGCTTACCCATCATTTTCAGTTAATCACAGCTGCTTTTCCTATGAAACCTAGTCCCCAACTCAGATGTTCTTACATCAGTCTCTGAGTGCCTTTGACAATCACAGGTGATTTCTAGTGAGGAAAAAAATTTATTTTTTCATATCCATGGTGTGATTCTTCAACATAGATCATTACAGCAGTAAGGAGGAGAGATGACAGCATGTGGGTCAATCTGAGCTCCATGAGGCAGAGCCAGAGGCATTTTAGAGCAGACAGTGCTACAAAGCCCAGCAGTGAAGCTCCCCAGCAGGGGCAGGGGCTGGAAAGCATTTGCTTTCTAGAAGGGAAATTATCTCCGAAGAGCAGAGGAGTGCCAGCATCCATCTCCCTTCAGCAGGGAATGCAGAGCCAGGGAAATATTCTCTCTGGTGGTGCCACATGACTGGCTCCCCTGTGCAGGGACAAAGAGTGGGTTTTGGGGGAGCTGTGGCCCCTCTCACCAGGCACCACGGAGCTGGAGAGGCCACACCAGTGCTGCCATCCATGTGGAGGAGCTGGGCCTCAGGAAGTGTGCCAGGAGCCCAGCCAGTGCCAGCCCCAGCAGCACCCAGAGCAGCCAGGCACTGGCATACAGTGGTCCCAACCTGGGTGGAGAAAACACCGTCAGGCACTGCCAGCCCAGCCGGGCACGAGGCACTCCGGCAGGGCTGTGGGTCCCCACCCCACCTTGGGGCAGTCAGGGAAGAGGAGACACAGCCATCAGCACACGGGGGCAGGAGAGAAGGAGGAGAAGGAGGTGAAAATCTGCCTGCAGTCCCAGCCACAGGGAGGAAGCCTGTGCCAGGGCTCCCCGGGCTGGTTTGGGTGCCCCTGGTCCCGCTCTGTCCTTACCGTCCCTGGGCAGCCCCGGCGTAGCCCTGGAAGTACCTGAGGCGGGTGTAGAGGTACAGCAGCCCACACGCTGCAGTCACACCTGCGGGGACAGGGCAGATGAGCTCTGGGGGGGCTCAGGATCCCTGGCACTGCTGGGGCTGCATCCCAGCACATCCCCCCAGCAGGTGGGCATGACCAGAAAACCAAATGCAGAGTGATTTGGCTTTAAACCGCTGCAGGAGTTTAAATGAGTTTTCTTCCTTCCCTTTTTGTGAGGGATGAACTTCTCTGCCCCACAGAGTTGTCTTGGGACTTGGGTTGGCAATGCTCCCTTACGTGGTTTCTCCTCACAAATAAATGGTTGCAGCAACCAAATCCCCTGAGCTCACTTGGTAGGGCTAGACAGTGGATGAGTAAATGTTTGGGTTATGGTTTTCTTGTTCTGACATAGCTCTGCCTCAGCTGCTGACACCTTGGCACCCTGGGACAGCCTGACCTTGTCCAGGAGAAGCAGCACAAGGGGACAGCCAGGCTCCAGCAAAGGAGCAAGGGCTGCCAGTGCTTCCTCCTCCAGGCAGGAATGGGCTCAGCTGCTCCCAGCTGGAGTTGAGGCACTTCTCGGTCAATCCAGCTAAAGGGAAATTTGCTTTCCTTGAACAAGAGCCTCACAGGCACAGAGAGAATGCCTGAATCACAATGGGACTTAAATTGGGGCTGGGTTTTTTTTGGTTTGTTCACATGGTTTGGGTTGGAGTTCCCCCCCAAATCCCTCTTACCTTGATGGAAGAAGATTCCAGCAACCCAGAGGAGGGAAATGAAGATTGGGAAGTACTCTGAGCAGTTTGCCCTGGTGAGAACCAGAGATGAGAGTTAAAACTGCCTCCTTGTACCTCAGAGCCTGGATAACCAAGGCTGGAGAAGGGAATTGGAAACTCACTTCAGAACAAACTAAAAGAGCTGATGAGAACCATCGCTGTGCTGTGGGAAAGAAGCCTTTTCTGTGATCAAGCACACCCAATATCTGTATTTTAGAGAAAAAAGCAGCCAAACACACAGCATTCACCTCTCCTGCATTCACATGGCCCTGGAATGACAATCTGTGGCTGAGATGGAGATTTGTCTCTGCTGGACCCTCGACAGGCTGCATCCCACACACAGCAGCATCCCAGACACCTGCTGGGGGAGAGCCTTGTCAGTATTTAAGGAGCTCTCTCTTCCCCTTGGGTGGACACAGCCTAAATTTGGGAGTCACACAAGTCACACACCAAGAAGGAGCCTTCTCTCAGATAAAATTCAGCAGGAGGTGATCAGGTTTACAGCCAGGTTTTCCTCCTTTTTGCTTTAGTGATAAAAATACAGATTTTCTGTAAGAAGAGTAGGAGCTGTGATATTAAAGACATTGGTTTTGCTTCTCCCACATTTTACCATTCCCTAGGCAATTCAATCTTAATGTTGGCCAAAAATATACAAACCTTTGGAGAATAGAGCCAGACTGGGAGCTGGAAAAAGTCTGAAGAACCTTATTCTGTAAATGCAGTTTGAGCCTCAGTGAGGGGAGGCTGCCAGGTTTCAAGTGAGTAATGCATCGATACCACTTTTTCCCTTTTTTTTTTTTTTTTCAATATATCAAATTATCCATTTGTATACTCCTCCATGGGGAAAAGAGAAGAAAAACCCACAAAGAAGCAGTATCTTCTCAAGTCCAAGCTCCCCGAGGTCACCTTCCCTGCCACAGCCCATGGCATGACTTGGTTAACACACATTTAATAGTTAAGTATTTAATTAAAAGCCACATCAGCAGCTCCCCAGCTCGCAGAGGCTGATGTCTCCAGGCAGGCTGGCCTTCCATGGTCCCACAGAGGGACTGAAGCTGCTGTTTTTGTCACTCCACAAACGTTTCCTGTGTGCTGGCAAGGGAACGCAGCTGCTTTGTTCGGGATTTAGTGCCGGGCTGGAGCTACCCTTCGCACCAGCTCCAGCCAATTCCTTTCAATTGCTTACAAAACAGAATGACTGAGATGAAAGATGGAATCTGGTGCTTGCTGGAAGCCGAAGGGATCTGTGAACGTTTCCAGTTTAGCTCCAGCATTGCTCTCTCCATAGGAACAGAGCAAAAAGAAACAGCCCTCAGCAGGGGCCCACGAGTGCTGATTCTCACAGTACAATGGCTTCTGAAAGGGAAAAAATTAAAATGCCCTTGTAGCTGGTTCTGCCAGCAAGGCCCTTTGCTTCAATTCAACAGCAAAACATTACAAGAAAATATCAGGTTATTAATAAAGCTTTGGCTGCTCTCACCATTTGGAGCCAATGGTAATATTAAATTTAATGATTCTAATTGTGAATGCTTTGCACCTCCTCCATACGGCCACTAATTTGTAATTTGGCTGCCTCACAATGCCAGAAGGAGAATTATCACGGATGGACAGAAACACCCCAGCCAAAGTGCTCCAAATCAAAATGCAGACCTTTGCACACAAAGCATTGAAAAAAAAAATATATATAAAACAGGAGCAGTAAGTGGAAAGGTGATTGAGGGAGAACAGTCTCTCCCAACAGTGACAGCTGACTCAAGTCTTATCTAGATAAAGTCATCACAAAAAGTTAAAATCTTACTGAGCTCTGAAGGTCCTCTCAAATTCAGGGTGACCTGTTGTTTCAGGAGGGGAAATCTTGTACTTCCGACGGGCGTAGATCACCTGCATTGCAAAATAGGCTGAAAACAGAACACAGGAATGGTAACAGACCAGCAGTGTTTATTTTGCCAAGTGTTATCTGGCTTGGAATCAAGCAAGTGGTTAGAATGAAAGAGCTGATATGATCTGGGTCCATAGTCCAGGATTGTCACACACGACCTGTAATAAATGTGCCATTTATTTCACTCTCATGCTTTAAATTCAGGTTTGGTTATCCCAGCTGAGTGCCAGTGCTGGATGACACTTTGCATCATCTCACACCCAGCAGAGCCCTCAGTGCTGCTCCCTGGCAGATCAAACACACAATAAAACCTTACCAAGTCCACACTGAGCCACAGAATTACTTCTTAATCTTGCACTTTGTGTCTAGAGGACATGTGCACCCTCAGCCAGTCTGATGGGAATGATGTGCTATTTTTCTGCTATTCCCAGTGGGTGCAAATTATGGCCCATGTCACAGAGCAGCATCCAAACTGTCAAGCACTGGGATATCATTAAGTCAATTGGAGATGCTCCCAATCATGGCAATAAAAGGAAAAGGAGAAGAGGATGATTATTTCTTGCTCTTCACTCCTGCAGGACAGCCCCAAGGCTGTCAAGGAGCAGAGGTGCTGCCCATGCCTGTGCCACATTTGAGCCAAGGCACTGACTCAGGGTCTGCTACATCAGTCCTTTGTATGTTTGTAAAGGACGTGGAAAGTCACTTCAAAACAATGAAAACTTGCTAACATGAAGATTTGGACTGTTTCACTATTTATTGAAAGCTCCCACTCCCACAGGCAATTGCTGATGCTCTGTTTTATTTAGGTACACTATTACACTGCTGTCTTTATTGAAAATTCCTATTTTCATATAGGAGAAAACTAAATTATAAAAACAATTACTTTGGTGGCTCTGGTGGTGTCACTGAGACACTTCAGTGAGCAAAGCCCTCACATAGCAACATTTCCAGAGCATTGCACAGAGAGACAAGGAGCCAGGGTGCAAGGCCTGCCCTGGGGACTGTCCTATTGTAACAAAGATAAAAGCAGAACAGCAGGAGAGAGAAGGGGAAGTAGGGACAGATGTTCCAAGATTAAAGACAAGACATGTGCCTGCAGAAAAGCATTAGTACATATGTAGAAGGGAATTAGAAATGTAAATAATCTGATGCTACGTGACTTGTGTATCACAAGGTTTTACTAACATAAATACAGTCGTTCCTTTCAGAACAATGTAAGAACAATTAAGCATGTTCTAGTACCTTCCACAGAGCCCAGCCCTAAATAAGAGGTGCTGACAGAGCAGAGTGGGGAGAAACAAGAAAGTTTCCTCCTCTTTGATTCATTTGTAGCAGGTTGATCATGGGGGAGGGTGTCACCCTTCTGCAGATCCAGCAGGACAGGACAGAGTGTTCCCTCTGTGAATCCAGAGAGGTGTAACACACAACTGGAATTCAGCAGCTGCTGGAGAGCTCTGGGAATAAGATGAAACCACAACCCATCTTGTTACCTCTCCTCCTCCCTGATCCTCTCAGGGTTTCATCCCAGTCTCCTCTCCAGAAATGGGCTGAGCTGAAGTTACAGCATCATGAGCAGATCTGGCTTGTGGCATCAGCCCAACTGCACTGGGCAATGCTCTTCATCCTGCTTTGTGCCATCTGCACCTTCCCTAAGGCAGGACTCTTGTGACTGATGGGTGAGGTAAGAGACTTCACATCAAACCTCTCCACCAGCTCTACACTTAGCATCTTGCTTCTAGACACAGGGACTAATATTCAGACAAGTCTTACACAGATCCCTGACACTCAGGGATGACATACAAAACAACCACCCAAGAGGAGCAGGAGCCTTGTGGAGAACAGCTGGCTGTTCCCCAAACCTGGTGTAAGGGTGAAGAACCAGTCCACAAAAGCACTTCTCAAAATGAGGTGTTGAAAAAACCTACACTGCATGAGCCTTCTCAGCAGAGACTCTTAGAGAAAAAGAGATCTATCTGCTCTGCAGAACCTTTCAAAGCTTTTATTTATTTTTTTTTTGTGATTCATGTCTCGAGGTTAATCACCTGTGTGGATTCCCATGTGGCTTAGGGGCTCAGCTCCCTGAACTTTGCCCCTCAGTGGAAATATTCTTCATTCTCTATTTGATTATGTCCACAAACTTGTCAAATCATATCATAGTTGCTATCTGCCACATTTGAGTGAACCTGGCAAACAAGCCCTCTGGGGCCTGACAGTGACATTGCATAAGTTTTCTTTCCTTTGAAGCTGTAAAATAAAGGAGTGGGGGGAAAAACCTGCAGTAGAATAATTTTGCTCTATGGTACAATGTTCAGCACAAGGCTGGGGCACACATCTAGAGAGTGCTAAACTCAGGGTTTCACTAAACTGAGAATGACTAAATTAAAAAGGGGAAAGTTACTTGAAAGAAGACAGAAACTGCAGGCTCCCAGAAAATTCAAAAAGAAACATAAAAATCAACCAACACTGTACCAAGGTCAGCCATTAAATTACATCTGCTGCACCAGGATATGATGGAGGAGTGTCTGTAGGGATAGCCCACGTCCATGCTTCAGTGCTCCCCTGCTCAGAGTGAATCCCAGACTGTAACTCACCTACAGAAAGTCCTTTAAAAACATGCAGAGAAAGCCCCTGCACAGCTCTGAACCCCAGTGACACTGGCACATGGATTTCATAGGACTAGATGGAAAGGAAATACACAGTATTTTGCAATTGCTCCTTGGCTTCCCACACAGAGATCAAAAAACCAGGATACTTCATGTGATCGAACAGATAGGAGGGTGCCAATGTCAGCTACTTATCCGCTGGCTTCACACCTGGCTTGATATGCCATCAAAGTAAAATGCTTAATGCTGCAACCTTTAAAAACTACTTGAAATTCTCATTAAACAAAAATATTTGAGACAAAACTGCTATCTAGGGATTTTCTACTGAGGGTTTCCTAAAGGAAAAGGGCCCAGCAGCATTTCTGTAACTCAATTTCAAGTTTTCTTCATGTCTTGCCTTTGCACACTAAACACTCGCTCCACCTCCACTTAGTTTAACAAAAAAATTCATAGTACAAAAGTTTCTTCCATTTGTAGTTGTATGTCTCTGTAAATTGAGTGGAAATTACTAAAAAATTCAGAAGTCTTGAGCTCTATTTTTAAAGTGGCATATTTTGTTTTAAATAATGCTTATATTAAGAGATTTCTCATCTGACAGCCAAAAGCACATGATGCTGCTCAGAGATTCACATCCATTTGTAAGCAGAGGTGTGATAGCTGTATGGTGAATTAATACAGTAATAATAAACCCCACAAACCTTTCCTTAGAAAATGGTGAAGATTTTAATAAAATGGGGGCTCTGTCCCCATCCCAGGCAGGGGAGTGACTGTCCTGAAGCTCAAGGGGGAGAAACTTTGCCCAAATGATCCACAAATAAATAGAGCTTGTCACCAATGCTGCTCCTTCTAAATGGTCTAAACACAATGCATCTATTTAAATTAGAAGTCACTGAGTTCCTTTGAAGAGCTCTGTGTCTGTTTCTGACCAGAACTTGCATGTTTCCAAATTACTGTGCTCTCAGTCCATCTTGTCATCTGCTCTGTGCCACACGAACATGCAAGGATATTGTTCACAGAGAAACACTTGTGTGCACTCTTTCCTACATCCACACCAGGTCTGTCTGTACACTGACCTCCCCACCAGCACATTTGCTAACCTGCCTTTATTTTGGCTACCTCCAGCCACTGCAAGTTACAAATTACCTGCTAAAATTCAATCACAAACTAGTTTACTTCAATAACATCACATTGAAAGTGCTTTAAGTCTAAAAGTTTTACTTGCTGGTTTTGAGGATCATTTTAGTCCCTGTTAAATAATGACCACCCTCAGACATGACACTTCTACCATTAACAGCCAAAAATTTATATCATTTTGCCATGTTGGAAAACAGTGACTTTCACTCCACAGACGCTCCAAGAAAAACACAGGAACCACGTCCCACGAAGTTTAACATAATTAGCTGAATACTGGCATTGTACAAAGGACATTTACCTTGCTCCAGGACCCCCAGAACTGTGACTGTGGCCAGCAGGTCTATTTGATCTCTCATGCTTGCTGACTGGGGAGGAAACCCCAGTCTGATGTGCTGGGTACAGCTGGTCCAGCACTCCCACCACCACCCACCTGCACAGAGCTGCTCTGAGCACAGGTGTTTCCTCCACCACACCTTAGCTCACCCTCTCTCCACACCACGTGGTTTTCCAAAGCAGCCACGCCCCAGAAAATGTCTATTCCATTCAGCCAAGTGCCTTTTGCTGAACAATAGAGCAAGGAAGAATTTTACATGAGCAAACTGTGAAATTCTTCTAATTACATTTACAAACTTTATACCATGATCGAATTATATGCTGCCGGCAATAGAAAGATGATGGAATTATTTCCAGCCCTTTTGTTGCTAGTTTTAATGAGCTCTGAAGCATCTCAATTATGTGCAAGGTTGTAAAAATTATTAACAAGCATTTACAAATTAATGACTTGACCTTCTGCTCTTATTTCAAGTAGTGGAGTTGACCACATGAAAGATTCGATAGACTTCAGCTGGAATAACTTAATTCTGTTCCCAGAATCTGTGATTTAACAGAACATTCAGATACTTTATCCTACTAATTACCACTCTTCAGTTTACCAAAGAGGAGTACAGTTCTTTCTACCACTCACTCACCCCTAGTAGTTTTCTGAAGTTTTTAAGCAATACAAACCTTTCCCTGGCTAAGACACAAAAGAGAAGTTCTCAGTTCTGAAGTCAGCAGAGGATGTAGAAACATACAGACCCTGAGAAATGTTACACTGACACAGAGTTGTAATTGTAAAATGTAAAATTGAAAAACCAGGAATGTTTTAGACCTGAACAACTTTTCCCCTACTCCACAAAAGTAAAACTGGCATCAGTTCAAAAAGGAACCTGATGTTCTTGGGCACCTTTATATGGATGACTACTTTGACTTTAAAATTTTTAAAATCAAAGAGGAGGAAGGTTTTCCCTTAATGTTGGTGGCTGAGCCATTGCAGTTCTCTCTGTTGAGTCATACACACAAACCCTCACTACAGAATTTGGGCATGTACAAATCTCTCCCAAGAGGGACACAGCAAGATTTTTTTCCAGTTTGGCTCTTCATTGCTTCAAAACCCTATTGTGACAGCTCATCAAGTTGAAAATTCAGTTAATCAATCAAATATCAAATAAAAAAAAAATCAAATATGTTACACTTTTTATATATAACCACACATGTAGAATAGTGAAACCACTCCCTTTCTCTAAAAACCACTCATATGATGTGACTTCAGCCTCCAAGGTACAGCAGACTCAGAAGAAATAGAACTAAAACCTAAAAGTTAACCTTAACTGAACCTACTGGTGACCAAAGATTTCATCTGTTGTGTCCAATATAAAAGTCAGAGGGGAAATGCCACTGGGGTCTCCTTACAACATATTTCAACAAACAATGTAGGCTTGAGAAAACTTTCATTACAGATTTCCATTACTGTCAGGAAAAACACTGGCATCAAGAAAATAAAAATCAGATTCTGAGCAAAGGTTTGTGACAAGCTGCCACTGACTCCTTAAAATCTTCTGAAAGCCACAGATGTCATTTCAGTGGGGGGTGGTTTGGGAAATTTGTTTCACTTAACAATAACCAAAATGGAGCATTTTTAATGAAACAATAAAGCAAAAATTTATGTAACTTCATGTTTCCCCATGGGCTAAAAGCAGCTGATTCTGGTACTGCTGTTGATTGCTACACTTGGTTCTTTATAAACTTCTGAAGTTACAGGTCTCCTTCTCTTCCAAACAGAACACAAAACTTGTAGAGTAGGAATACATTAAAAACACACTCTGGTAAGCCAGGGGCTAAAACCACAACTGCACAATGACACCAACTGCAAAGCTTACAGAATGAGCCACCAGTGTCTGAAGCTGGGCAGTGGCTGTGGGACTTCAGCAGCCTGAAGCCAAGACCTCCACACACGCTGCTGCCAGCACTTTGTTCCTTGCTCAGAAACCTCAGCTCCTGCACGTGTCCCACGTCTCAGCTGGATTCTTGTGTGTGCCATGTGCCTGCATCAGACAAGTCTTGAGGAAACCAGTTTGAACCTCTAGAGGCTGTTATTCTGAGGGATTTGGCATATTTTGGAACTCCACAATTTTGCACATGTGAGGTCGTTATTAACATCTTTTTCACTATTAACAACCACCTCTGCACTGAGGTGGTTGAATTGAGGTTGAATTTCCCAGCTTAAGGTCTACAATGCATTCCAAAAAAAAAACCCAAAGCCCGGAAGCAGTGGGAGTAGCATAAAGCCTGATTTTCAAAGTTACATTTTCTAAGGCGCCTTTATCCAGTTCTGGCCTGCTTAAATGGACTTTCTGAAACCATAAGAATTGTAAGACACAGCAGCAGAATTTGAGCCTTTGTAACAAATAGGCTGAGCAAAAACTGTATGTTGGGATGAAGGGAAGAAACCACCTCACTAAGAACGACAATGCTGAACTCTGCTAGGCTCATGCAAATGTATAAAGTCACACCATGTATATTTAATACACTAGCAAAATATTTATTTTATAATGATAAAACAGAAGTGAAGGATTTCTTTTTGGTGTGCACCAGTAATTGTAGTAAAAGAATAAGGGGATTAATGGACTCTTTATACATTTCAATGACAAAAATTCATAAAGGTTAGCATCAAATTCAACTGTTCTCCATTTACAAGCATAAAACTTACCATAATACCCCCCAAACACATATATAAAGAATTATAGTTTTAAAATCTATAAAAAGTAAAAAATATACAGTCAGAAGATCTAACTCTTATTCAAATCTTTAATATAAAATTGTAAACATTTATTTACACAAAGGAAATGTGTATAACAAAATTTTGAGCACCCTTTTCAATTGGATCGTGGTTTTTGGAAGGCAGTGGATGTTGCACAGTGACACTCTCACCTTGCCTGCCCAACCAAAACCGCAGTTTATAAATAAAGCCATGGGCGGCCGGCTGGGTTCAGTTCAGGGGAGATTGGTTTTATTGCTCTGAAGCTGCAGCAAATGGAAAGCCCGAGTGCAGACACAGCCAGTGACACATTACAGGGCACCAGGGCAGAGCCCAGCCCTGCCCATGCACCCATGTACATCAAAACCGTATTTTCATTTCCATTGAACTGTTCCAATCTTGTTCCAGTGGCACCCTGCTCTGTGCACAGGGACCAAAGCCAGAGCCAGGGGCTGTTTGGATCCTGTTCGCACAGACACCAACAGGCATTGTAAGCCAGTTTGTCTAGAATCACACCTAACTGTACTCCAACAGTACCATGAAAAGGCCCTGTCATCAAACCCAGATAAATTCCTGAACAAACCCTCTGGTCAAGCAGAGCAATATCCACCTTAGCTTCCAGAAACAGTGGAGGAAAGAGCACACCTGCCTTTTCCTGGACATTTCGCTGGATTGCCTTTTTGGTAGTAATAATGCAAACAGCAGATGTTCTTTTCCTCCAATTAAGAAATCACAACTGGATGGATTGTATTTTAACTTATTCAGAACCAAGTCTGTGTGCAAAATCTACTTGAAAACAGAGCAGATTTCACCACAACCTAAACAGGGAGAAAGAAAAGCTGAATCCTACTACCCTGTTATTTCTGTTAAGTGTTTGTAAGGGGGAGAAAAAAACCAGTGACATGGAAGGATGTCACTTGAAACTGAGGTCCCAAGCACCCCCGACAGGAAGGGAAGGCACACTGGTGCAAAGTTAACCCTTAAAATTAAAAATACAGCAAACACTCCTTCCCCTGACATTGCTAGTTTATATCTATACTCTTCTAATGACACTTACCTTGGACCAGTTTTTGGTTTAACTTAACAGTAAACCAAGCTCACTAGCTCTTTTCTTAGATTGCCAGTATGAGAAAAGCTAGCTCAGTTATTTGCATCTCAACTACTTATTCTAGAAAATATCAGAAGTGTCAACAACCAAAGTCACCAACACCTTCGTCTTCCCATCCAAAGACAATCTTTATGTTATCTTTTCAAAAGCTCTATGAGGGATTAAGTCTGCTTCAGTGAAGTTTTATTCACTGTTTAGAGGTGGGATCCACTGATCAATGCACATCTTTCATCAACAGTTCAACATGATAAAATAGCAAATCTGATCAACAGAGCGGAATTCATCCACACTAGCTAAGTGTGCTGGACAAACCATGTTCCATGCATATTTGGAAAGGGTTAAAGTATTAGTGTTAAAAAAGCAGTTTTCAAAAGTGCAAATTGTCTCATAAAGGAGCTGCAGATACAGTAAAATATTTTCCTTCTCTGAAACCAATGATATCTTTCCCTTCCCTTCACCCCCTCTGGAAAAAAACCCTCTCTCACAATTCTGTAATGCAGAAAACTCCTGGAGAAGCCAGTCTGTGTTGAAGGAAATTGCTTTTAAATCACAATGCTGGGTTTGGTTAGAAAGTTTAGAGGAGTTTTCCAAGAAAGTGGATTTAGAAAGGGAAGAGGTATTTGTGCATTTAAAACAAAAGCTTTCAACTTTATTTTCATTTTAAAATAAACATTAAGGCAAGGTGGTTTGTTGGTGGATAAGGGATTTTTTTGGTAGAGTAAGGACTTTGGAACATTTACTGTTCCCATTGTGGTTTTTGTCCTTTCTGGGACCAACCCCAACTTATGGATAAGGGGTCTCCTTGGGCTGAGCTGAAGAACAGCATCTGCTTCAAGGGATATTAAAAAAGTAAATCCACCAGTCTATAGAAAGATTATCAAACTTGTAAGCCAGTATTAAAAAAAACCAAAGCATTTAAAAGGGGAGACTTCCACATTGGAGCAACCCTGATACAAGTATTCTCCCAGGCTGCCTGTGCTATTATTGCTAATAAGGACTTTCCACCTCCCAGCCAAATTCTTTTTTCCTCATTTTTATCCTGAAGTGACAAAGTCTTGTGCTCATTGCTAACTTCGGGGGATGAACTGTTCTCAAAGGTTAGTTTTACTTTTTACAACAAAGAAAACTAGATGAGCTGTCATGAAGCAAAGCCTTCATTTAAATACAACTAC